CTTTGTCCTCTGCCTCTAGAGCCAGGGCAGGAATGCCTAAGATAACCCCAGCAGATGGAAAGGTCGTGTGTGCCACCTTTTTTCGCTTTTCTTTTCTAGTAGCCGTGTGACCAAAGTGAGAAGAGAAAGAAAAGAAAGAACGGAAAGAAAAGAAATAGGCCAAGTTAAATGTGATAATGTTTGTTGAGTGAATGTTGCCTGGTATGCGATACTAATTTACTAATCCATTCGCTAATTCAACAACTCCGTCTCGAGCCCCTCCTGGGGCGCGCGCAAGGTGCTGGGATTAAGACGGTGAACCACGCAGACGTGGCCCTCCTTCTCACAGAGCGTCAGCCTAACGGGGAGGCAGATAATTAAACAGGCAATTACAAAATCCCTCTCCACATAAGGGAGCATTTCAGAAACTGTAGGCACCAAAACTTAAAATAAAATTTACAATTTAAAACATTTCAAAAAAAAAAAAAAAGTCCTCTTTTAAGCAGAAAATACCGAATGTAATTTAGCCCTTGCTCAGTGGCTCAGAATCGTCACTGTGAACAAAGGATCATTGCATATTGATGTGGGAAAGGGACTTTGAGATGAGTTAGTTCAAGCCACTGGTGGTGGGACAGCGTAAGACAGAGGTGCCTTCAGGACCACGGGTGGGGGACCTGCTGGCCCTGTTCGCTACATGCTCCCGGGGCTTCTCTGCTAGAAGGTTCCGTGTCCTTCCTGGCTCCTCAGCTGCCAGCTTCTTTCCCTCTGCCGCAGGGGCTCCTGCCCCTGACAGTTCCCACCTGTCTCCTGAGTTGCCGCTCCTAGTGTAGACTAAGAAAAAATGAGCGCTTATTAGAATTGTATGTAAAGTAAGACTCAGTGGGCTCTAAGTGAGGGACCTCCCTGTTAGTAAAGACTGAGTTTGGTGTCCATGGCTGTGGCTGCTCAGAGGTCCCTTCGGTGTATTTCTGGCTGTTCTCAGGATATTTGTTCTCAGGTTGGAGGGTAAATGAAGTGTTCTTATAAATACCTAAGAGGCTTATTAATGGCCGGGCATGCACCGACTAATTGCTTCCTCCTGTTTCCACATAATCAATCACTTCCACCGTGTGGAGCCACAGGCAGCGGCAGAACGCGGTGGAAGGCAGACGACACCGGGATGGGCCTCCGAGCTCTGGGCGGCTAACTCCTTGTGCACAAGTCCTTCCTGTCCTGGAAAACCAAGCCATGCCATCCCCTTGTGCCTCATTCCCCTGACCTGGGCTATCCCCCTCTCTCCTCCCCCTCCCAGGAAACTTCATTTTTTTTTTTTTTAAGTTTAATTATTTGGAGAGAGAGACAGAGAGAGAGAGACAGACAGAGAAAACATGAGTGAGGGAGGGGCAGAGAGAAAGAGAGGGAGAGGGAGAAAATCCCAAGCAGGTGCCTCACTGTCAGCGCAGAGCCCAATGCGGGGCTTGAACTCACAAACCTTGAGATCATAACTTGAGCGGAAATCAGGAGTCGGATGCTTCACCAACTGAGCCAGCCAGAGCCCCCCCCCCACCCCACCCCAGTAAACTTCTTGAAGGAATTGTGTCTTCTGTGGACTCCACTGCTTTCTCTTTCAGTCTCTCCTCATCTCGTGTCACCTCCGCCACCCCTCAAACTCCACCTGCCCCAGACTCACGCCCCACGGCTCTCTGCCACGTGCCTGGCCCTCACCCAACATTACCGTCTACCCAGCTGTACAAGTCAGGAACCTGAAGTTGGTCTTGTACCTCCTTCTCCATCGGCCGAGTATCCAGGACGTCCCAAACCCTTGGGTTTTACCACCAAAACATACGTTGCCACCTGCCATGGCCACCAGCCTGTGAGCCTCTGAGCCCCCATCACCTCTCACCAGGGCGACTGGCCTCTGTGCCCCTTCCCTGGGTCCCTTCAGTCACACACCCCAACTCCTTCCCCGCCGCTGATGAGAGCCTTTCTAGAGCCTTCCCCTCTTCTCTCTGGACAAAGACCCAAATCTTTATCACGCCCTACAAGGCCCAGTTCAGGTGGTCTGGACCCTGGCACCTTTCCAACACTTCCTCTTCCCTCTCGGTGCTTTCTTGAATGTGCCGTGCCCCTTCCCACACACAGACTTCATCCTCAGTTCCGTCTTCTGGAACATTCTCCTACCTCCATAACTCCTGTTTGTCCTCAGGAAGCCACACCCGACCCCTGGCCCAGGTCAGCTCCCAGAGAACCTTGCCTATCTCCATCAGCACCCTTGGCTCAGTCTGGAATTCTGCCTGCACGTATGTGATTCCTTGATTCAAACCACCTTCTTATGAGAGCAGGGACTCCCTCTGCTCTTGCTGGGCACCAAGCCTTTGACACCTGGCACACGGGCAGCCTTCTAGAAGGACGTTTTGCCTCATCCCTGGCTCCCTTTGTGAGGCCTGGAACTGGAGCTAGAGTCTCTTTGCCACTAACTGCCTGTGTGACTTTAGGCAAATCTCACGACCTCTCTGGGGCGCTGCTCAGCCTGGGGGAAGGTCTCCAAGGGCTCCCAACATCTAGGATGATATGTCGTGTCGCAATATTCACTCTGCTTGTTAAGCTAAACAACAGCCCTTTGAAGTAAGTTCTGTTATTATCTGTACTTTATATATGGGAATAATTGGGAGCGGGCGAGGTGACATATTTGTCCAAGGGGCCACAGCCACTAAGTGGCAGGCTCAGGATTCGAACCCAGATCTGTGTTTCCAGAGCCCACACGCTTAGTCGTGAGGCAGTGGGAGGGCGCAGAGCGGTGGCTGTTCAGATGAAGGGAAAGTTCGGAACTTGGGGTCGGTCATAGGGAGGGAGCAGATACCACGGGGGCTACTGATCTGTGGGTCACCGGGTGGGTGTGCTGACCCTTCCCCCAGACTTTTGGGGGAAGGTAAAAAGAGCTCATGGCCCCGAGGGGAGGCCACCGTTAGGCCACCACAGGGGATGGGACAGGGAGGTTCTGCCACGTCTGGCGTCTACAGGGCCTCGGCCCCTGTCAGAAGGCTGGATTACCCAGCCAGGCCCGGGGCCAGGGCCAGACTGGGCCTGACCTCTCAG